CTTCCTGAAGAGGGTAAAAACTATGTGAAACCCAAGTATTTCAAAAACATGCTAAAGAAACCTTATTTAATTACTATGAATCTTGAAGCAGAAGAAATCGAAGTAGAGAAAAAAGATAATGAAGAAAATACTATAAAATTAGCAGAGCAAAAAGCAATTTCATATGGATATACAATACATTGTTTAGATGGGACTACACAAAAACCAGTAATTAATCGAGAATCAGAAAATATAATAAAAGACTTAATGGAAAACCTTCAAGAAGATCTAGAAGTTATTTTAGATAAGCTTCGTGAAATAGTTCTATGTGAAAAAATGATACCTGAATTATGGCGAAAATATCAAACTGCAAACAAATGTTAGATATGTGAAGAAAAATTACATGAAGCTGGATATAATAAAATTCGTGTATTCGATGCTAAAACCAAAAAATATTTGGGTGCTTTACATAGAAAATGTCACGGGAAAAAATCAATGATTCAAGGTAAGTTAGATGATGAGCAAAAAGAAAAATATAAATCTTGTAAGGTATGTATGTATTGCAAAACGCAATTACCAGATGAGGAAAAAAACAAAGTGATAGATCATAATCATATTACAGGAAAGTTTAGAGGTCCTGCTCATAGTAGATATAATATAAAATTACGAATCAATTCAGAAACAATAAAAATTCTGGTATTATTCTGTAATGGAAGTGGCTACGATTTTTATCATCTAATGCAAGAAATAGCAAAAGTGACGGATGAAAAAATAGTGCCTATAGCAAATAATTCTGAGCAATATATTAACTTTTCAGTTGGCCAGCTTCAATTTATTGATAGTATGAAATTTTCGTTACTGGGTTTAGCTAAGATGGCAGAAAATTTATGAGATGAAAAAAAGGGGAAAAACAAAACACCAGAACAACTAGCCAAATGTTTTTCAATTATGTCAAAATTCATCTCACCTCATTTGTTATTATTGCTTATGCGTAAAGGAATTTTTCCATATAAATGGTTAAATAATAAAACAAAATTTAATGAGACACAGCTCCCACCATGTAAAGATTTTAATAGTGATTTAGATGGGTTTAATTACTGTGATCATAATTGTAGAATAAAAAAATGTGAGCATAGAGAGAAGATAGGGAAATGCAAATATAATTGTCAGAAATGTAAGCATAAAAAGAACCAAGTAATTGCAATGAATGTGAAGAAAATAAAGAATGTGAACACAAAAAAATTTATACCATATCTCAAAAGGATTATGATTTTGCACATATGGTCTGGCAAGAAGCAGAATGCAAAACTTTTGGAGATTATCACGATATCTATCTTAAAACTGATGTATTAATTTTAGCAGATACATTCGAGGCATTCCATAAAGCCTCATATTCAGCATTCAAGCTCGACACAGCAAATTATTTAACCGCACCAGGTCTAGCATAGGACGCATGTATAAAGGTAACTAAAGTTAAGCTAGAATTATTTCACAAATACCAAAGAGATATGCATGATTTCTTTATAGCAATGAAAAGGGGAGGAATGTCTTTGGCTAGACATCGTATAGCTAGAACAAATATTCCAGGGTTAGAGGGGTATGATGAAAAAAAATTGAAAAAGTGGCTTTTGTATCTAGATGCCAATAATCTATATGGTTAGGCAATAAGTCAATATTTACTAACCGGAGGATTTAAATGGCTATCAACAAAACCCCTCAAAGCAACTTCTTCATTAATGCAGAAAATTTTATTACTAAAAGAAAAATCAAATCGAGGATGTTGTTTAGAAGTAAAGTTATCGATTCCAAAAGAATTGCATACCAAATTTCGAGACTATCCAATATGTCCAGAACGAATGAAAGTACCATATGATTGGTATGGATCAAAGCAAAAAGAATGGATAGGAAAACAATGTCCCGATACAGAAAAACTTGTACTAACTCTACAAGATAAAGACTATTATGTTATTCATTATAGAAATCTACAGTAGTGTATAAGAGAGGGGTATGTTCTAGAAAAAGTATACAGAGTTTTAGGTTTCAAACAATCTCCTTGGATGGAACCCTATATAGCAATGAATACACAACGACGAGCAAAAGCGAAAAATGATTTCGAAAAAGACTTCTAGAAATTGATGAATAATTCAGTATTTGGAAAAACTATAGAGGATGTGAGAAAGCGAGTGAATATAGATTTGGTTCGTCAGGTAGATGAAGAACACAGACTACGAAGACTAATTTCAGATCCTGCATTTGTTAGTAGGAAAATCTTCTATGGGGCGAACTTAGTAGCTGTACATCAAAGGCAAACTAATGTAAAACTAAATAAGCCAGAATATATAGGATCATGTATTCTCGATCTTTCTAAATATTATATGTATGACTTTTGGTATAGTTATCTCAAAAAGAAATATGGGGATAAAGTAAAACTCCTATATACTAATACAGATTCATTAATTATAGAAATTGAGACCGAAAATATTTATCAAAACATGATAAACGATTGTGATTTATTTGATTTTAGTGATTATCCTGAAGAGTATTGGGTGGTAAAAAATTTTCCAGAAGATCTAATTACTGAAGAAGGTAAGCGTGTATTAAAAAATACTAAAGTAATAGGTAAGTGGAAGGATGAAAATGGAGAAGATAGAGCTATCGGCTATGCAGGAGTTCGTGCAAAATGTTATAGCGTTGTGTGTGAAAATTCACGAAAAAATATGATCAAGGCCAAGGGTCTTAAAAAGTCTCTCATTAAGAAAGAGCTTATACATAAAATATTCAAGGACTGTGTTTTAGAAGGGAAAGAAGATCAACCACAAACTGCTCAATTCCTCCGAAGTTACAGACATCGAATGTATAGGATATCGCAAACAAAGAGAAGTGTTAACCCACTAGATACAAAATTGTGGATAGCACAAGATATGGAAATGACATATTTATATGGAGATTGTGAAATTCCGGAAGAATAAATATAGCTTTGCTTCATAACATTTTAATATATCTATCCAC